TTTAAATGGTTCATCTTAAACTGACCTAATACATGTAAACTAAGCAAAAGTTTCAAAGTCAATAGACCATGACTGAGGGGTAAGGACCAAATATTCTCCATGGAAATGAGATGTGCTAATGCTTATAAAACTGCATACCAATTATCGTTGATCTACCACTAATGGTTCCCCTTGAACTGACCTAATCACAAACTAATACATGAAAACTAAGCAAAAGTTTCAATGGTAATAAGATGTGCCAATGCTAACTAATGACAACTGCATACCAAATATCAGTGACCTTCCACTAGTGGTTCGCCATAAACAGACCTAATCACAAACTAATACATGTAAACTAAGCAAAGTTTCAAAGTCAATAGACCTTGACTGAGGGGGCAGGGCCAAATAATCTCCATAATAATGAGATGTGCCAATGCTAATACAACTGCACACCAAATATCATTGACCTACCACTAGTGGTTCACCATGAACTAGACCTAATCACAAACTAATACATTGTTGACGCCGCCGCCGCTGCCACAGACGCCGTAAACAGCATACCTATGTCTCGCTTTTTGACTCCATCAAGGCGAGACAAAAATGAGACATTCCTTATAATCATTGTTATTTGATTTCATCTAACAGCAGTGAACATTGCTCCATGGCCACAACTCTACTTCCAGTTGAAATAACTGAGCTGCTTGGACACATAGAGTTAGAGGGGAAGAAATTAAATTGGTTATTTGGGATCTGTTTTTGTCATACAATTAACCAAGGAACAATCAGCTACAAATTGGTCATTGTTACAGTCTATAATTATATACCTTTCATTTTGCCTTTTACAGACTTATGAGTTTTCAAGTAAATTTAAATATATATTCAACATGTTCAACATTTAACACCATTTGAGTGCAATAAACTAAGTTGCTATGAGCTTGCAATTGTACACGTTAACTATCAGCAGACAACATTTTGCCTGAAGACACCATGACAGAAATATCATCAGGATAAAAGTTCACAGCCTTCAAAAAATAGGATTTTTGGAGGCAATTATCTTTGTATTCAGTTCTCATTTGAACTATGGTCTTAAAGGGAAAAATGTTGCCATTTATATGAATATTTGCGCCATGACAGCTATCATGATGAAATACAAAATTTGATTTTTTCTATCACTGTAAATTGATACCCGATTTGAATTCTAGTCACTTTGGCACCTGGTTAAGTCGGCACCCGTTATAGTCAATTTGGCACCTAGTCATACAGGATCTGGTTAATTCGGCACCCAAAGTTAACATTATGTTTTATAAGTAAACTATTGAAGACTCCTATTTTCCCCATAATTTTTTTTAAATATTTTCACTCAAGTTGTCGACGTCTATTTGTTGCGTGTAACAGAAGTTCCAATCGAAACTTTGTTATAAACAATGGGGACATAATGAACCTGTATTTCATGACAACGGGTCTGCACATTACTAGTAAACATTGGCTACAAGATTGGTGCCAACGTTATTCACTTTATATTTTAAGTAGAAAGGAAATGCAGAAAAAAATCAATTTAAATTACAATGATTAAATTAGTTTTTATCTTCATCTGTGGATTTTGAACAACAGCTTGCGTAATGGCTTCTTTGTTTTTGTTTATTTTTTTATTATAAAAGATCAAAAACAACCTGAATACAGTTAAGGGTTATTCAATATTAATTTGTAATTGATATAAATTGATAAGTTTTTAAAGTGATTACCAATCAAAATATTATTAATAGAGTATTGAGAAAACTTCAAACAGAAAGCCAACTGATTATTGTTTATTGTGTATTCTTACTGCTTAATTAGTGACAATTACCATACCTGCCAACTTTTCAAAATCTCCATGGGGGATTTTTAAGTGAAAGAGGAACTTATGCTCCTTTGTCATTTTTGTCTGTTATTGTCATACATTGTACATTGTGTTTTTAATCTACTTCTATATTGTTTGAATGAGTATGAATGTTCTTAAAAATCCTTTTAACTCATTTGAATGTCTGATCTGTTTTGAGTTATAAAATAAATATATTCAAGTTATAAAATAAAGAATTTTAAAATTCAGATTGAGACCTCTCATGGGATAGTTGGCAGGTTTGCATTCATGTGCTGAATTTTTAACAATGTACGAAATGAACCTCTGAAATTATAAGTTTTGCAAAAAAATATATAAATAGTAATAAAAAAAAAACTATTCTCAACATGCTCAAATAAAAAGGAAAGAAAACCGTAAAAATAATATAAGGTGCCAGTTGAATAACCAAATGATGAAATGACTTTAAATGCATGTAGGTGCCAATTTGACTTTTTCTGTAGGCAGGGCTCACACTACTTCAGAATCATAGGGAGAAGTGACTTCTCTTTTTGAAACTGAGAGGGAGAAGTGGTGAGATTTGAAAGAGAAGTGCTCACTCAAAGCGCTACAATGTTTGGTTTTTACTATAATACAAAGGGCTATATGTATCTTTTTTTTATATTGTTAAATTTGTACCTGGGTATACAATTACAGTAACAGTTCAAATTCAAAGTTGTTTAATTTTATCATATCTAGTTCCACAATCATATTAGTCCTCTTGTCAGAAAAAAACAATTAAATATCTGGCAATAATAGAAAAGATTTTTTTTTATATCAAAAAGGAAAAGAAAGTTGTATATCAATTAAAATTCAATTAAAAAACTACTCTGTTATCATGTTTATGAAATTAAGTATTTCTCATTTAAAAGATATATAAATTTAACAGTTTTATTTAACACAATTAAACCTGGACATAATATAATTATATTAGTGTAATAGTCCAAGAGTTGAGCAACTTTAATTTATAAATTGAAACAATGCATATACATGGAAATATATACATTAATCATGTTAATCAAGTAGATCTAACCAAAAGTATGTTAATGCGTGTGGAATGCGTAATTTTTTCCTTTTGGGATCAATTTTCTTCTGTCAGCTGTGTCATCTATCATGCATCCCTAGTCATTATCGTAAGGATCCGGATTTCAGTCATAGCTGGTGCGTTTCTGATGAATCCCGACTCCGATCCGTAGTTGTACAATAATTTGCCCAATAATTTAAATGGCGGACGAAGAAAATTTACAAAAATAAACGATGTTTGACAAGCTATTTGGAATGGAATATGATGTTTTCAAGGCAATATATGAATAACAAATTTACTTCAGGCAAATTTCATCAAGTTGTAATGAAGTAACAAAGTTATTTTGCCGAATGTTAGAATGATTTGATGTACGCTCTTGAGTAACAAGTACCGGAAGTGATAAAAGAGTTGTCTTTATGAAAACAACATGCAATCAACTTTAAAATCAATGCTTTAACCTCTTTTCTAAAGAAAATAAATCGTTTATGCAGACTACACGAATGAATTTTATTTTTACAGGACATTCGGTCTGGTAAACAACCTAGCTTTACCAGACCGAATGAAATTTTACCAGACCAATTTTTTTTACATCTAATTGTATATTATCCGACAAAATACAACAATCTTATGACTTATTGTGCCCTACTCCTCTCCAAAATGCACAAAAACAAAATCATGTGACAAAGAGTGTATACATGTATTTTGATGAAAGTTGTGCACAATTGCTTGAATGCATTTCAGTGATAAAGAAAAGTAATGTCACATTTTATTGGATTTTGACATGAAAATTATTTGTGAACTAAAAATTTTGAGTTTCTGTATAAAATATTTCCTGTATCTTCTTTCATTTTCATATATCTTTTGGTTTTCAATTCTAGTGTTTATATTTCATAGCTGTATTTTGTGAACCTGCTTGGATTTTTTTTATGTTTCTATTGTATTTGATCGGCAAACCCGGAAATTGACCTTATCCGTTCCCGGAATCTGATCCGGTATTGTTTATATTTCCGGTTGATGGCAGCCATTGTTGTTTTTGTCAGTCAGATATGTTTTTACTCGGATTTACACATTACTTGTATGCGATTTTTGGCATAAAGCTAGCGGTTGAACAAAATAAACATCGCTGTCATGAATAATAAAGATGAGAATGAATTTTGAGATCGTTTGGGAATTTTGCCCCCAAAATTGGGAAAAATGTAGGGTTTTTAAAAAAATCCACGAAAAATATAACACCGGACATTCGGACCGGAATTCAACAAAATTTTACCAGACCGATCCATTATTCACCGGATTTGTCCGACGTATTTCGTGTAGTCTGTTTATGTCTTTGAATTTCTCTACTTTTAAACGAAAAATTGCCAGATTGCTGTTTCATCGACTTAGTAAATATTGAATATTGCCGATGCTGAAAGCGACTGAAAGCGAGTATCGTGAACAACATGGCGACTAAATTTCGCTTTTGACGGTCGGGCAAAGCAAAGTGATGGAGGGAAAGTCATTTGTGGCCCCAGTCACCTGCTAGCGTGAGCCCCGATAGGTGCCGAATTCACCAGGTGGCAATTTGACTTGTAACTTGGGGATCAAACAAAATCAAAGTTTAATTCATTGTCGATACATTGCAAACAAAGTAACACAAGCTCTAGTGAGCTTTTAAAACCGACATTTTCAGGATAGGACCCATTTATGAAGATCTTTCCCAACCTGTTAAAAAATAATTTCTGTGTCAATACTGTTTCCCAATATACATATTAATTTTATTATGTGACATAGTACATGTATCAAACCCGAATTTGAGTGGTCCCAACCTGGCCAAATTATGATTGTGCCATCCCTTCATTAACAGCCTGAATCATGTTTTTTATTACAGAAATGCATATAACTTGCCCACAGACTAGGCACAGTGGTAAAAGCCAAAAGAAAGAAAACCAAATACTTTTTTTTTTTGTGCAAACAATAGATTTATTATTAATATTAGTCACTGACTCTCAAATCAAGTCACTTCCGTAAACTTATTATGAAAACAACCGCCATGTTATGGATATCACACCTGTAATTTCTACCTGGAACAGGTAAGTTAGTGTTTTTATTTTTTGCAAGTAAACTTCGAAAAAAAGTGTAACTCACTGTCTCTTTCACTGTATTGGGCATAAGAGAAATGGAACACTATAAATAGTACTAATTTGCTTCTCCACATCGCCATTCCTAATGCATTTCAAAACAGTTGCTTCCCTTAGTCATCAGTCACGTGACCAAATACGCAGGTGAAAGGTGAAAAGAAAGGTATGATTATTTCCCTTTGAACTATTTAAAATGAATGGTATTGATCGATTCTGTACAATAATTTGATATGTTCCAGTTCAGACAAAATTATTAAAAGTAAACCAAGTTAAAAAAATTAGGAAGGAGAAAAGAAAGGACTAATTGAGCAAAAACCTAGAAAGAAATCACGATATATATCTGAAGAATTACAATTTTAAAATTCGAAATGACAAATTTTGAATGATTTGTTATCTTATATCAATATATGGCCCAAAAAATAATAAATTTATTAACTGTATAAGAGTTATTATTTGGAATTGCACTTTCTTAGGTGATCAAAGTTCTCTTAACTTTACCAGAGACATAAAATGATAGAACATGAGGGTCTGGATGGTACAGAAAGAGAATAATGGCAACAACAAAAAATATAAAGAAAAGACATGGAATAATGGGTGCAAAAATGTAAAGAATAATAGGGGGAAATAAAAGAATAAGGTAATAAAAGACTGGTTATTATTTTTTGCAAGTAAACTAAGTTACTTCGAAAAAAAGTGTAACTCACTGTCTCTTTCACTGTAATGGGCATAAGAGAGATTAATAAATAAAGTTAATAAATTCATTAATATTATTCTCTATTCTGTAAATAAAGTATTTATTATTTATTATTATATTATCATTATGTTACACTGAGAAATGAATGATGTACAGTATAAAGAAATCAGCTGATTACAGAAAATTTTAATTGTAAAATCATTTGCATGAGAATGTTACAGAATAAGCATTATTTTTATAGATAAAGAAAAGTGGCATAAAAATTTAAAGAATACACAAACTAAGGAGCCCATCTAGGCCCTCATACATGTATTATATGTCTCTAATTATATCAAGGATCATGTATCTTTTTTTGTCAATGCTAGACTATGTATATCACCATCTTACACACATAGCCTAGGTAGTCATGTAGTCGCGTATGTGGCGTTAAATTGAACAATCAATAAAAAAAACAAAACAAAATTCAAACCCCAGAGGCGGATTTCAGGGGAGGGGGGTTACAGCTTGCCTGGCCCCCTTACGGAGCTTCATGTATGATAAATGCATAGACTTTTTACAAGTATCACTCCAAACGTTAACCAGGCAGCGCCCCTTTTTTCAAGATCCTGGATCATCACCTGAATCCTGTACACTGCATACGCCTGTGGTAAACAAGAGGCAAATCATTTCATTTGTATTGAAATAAAACGTCTCAATATATATTTTTTCTCATTGATAACCTAAATTTCCTGCTGTGATATAAAAAAATTAAAAAATACAATAGGAACATGCTGAAAATGATAAAAATCGGAATATTAAAATGAAAATGATTATACGGCACTTGTTACACAGGAAAACGTTTTAGTACATTTATCTCCTTTTGTACTAGGACTTGAAAAAAATCGTGCTTGTTCTTTAAGCCCATCTGATCTTTAACTTACCTTTTTCAACCATTTGGCGTCCGTCATCGTCATCGTCTGTCATCGTCGTTAACATTTCAAACTAGAGGTTCTAAAGAGCATGTGTCGCTCATATAGGTCTATATGCAATGGACACAATGAACATGATGAACACTCTCCAACATTGTTGACTAGAATTTAATAAATGGCTAAAATCTCTGTTTTGTTGATCTTGTATTAGTGATATTTTTTTTTTCAGTTAACAGCTTCTTTCTAACTTCTATTGTTTTTTTCCCAAAACACAAAAAGGATTTAAAAAAATCGTCATTTCAGTGCAATGAATCCTATAATAAGACAACTAACAATTTCATTTATGCTGACTTATTTACAGATCTTGTCTTGCTGATCATATTTGCTGCTTGAAGTTTCTAACTATCTTATATAGTTTTTCAAGATGATATAGGCAAAACAAACAAAAAAGTTTGAATTGTCATTTAAGGGCAACAACTCATATAAGGAGTCGTCTGACGATTTCGACCAAAATGACTAAAACGTAGATCTTGACAGGCTGATCTGTTTAGCCATTCACACTTCCAGCTATCTATTATTGTTTTTAAGATAATAGGGAAAACGCAAAAACTGTTTAAATATTATTTAAGGGCAATAAATCTTATAAGGAGTCGACTAGGTAATTTCAGCAAATGACTTCTTGATATATCTCGTCTTGCTGCTCTTGGTTGTCTTTTAAAATTGTTATCGATCTATTATAGTTTTCAATAGGAAAAAACGTAACAAATGGTTCAAAATCGTCATTAAAGGGCAATAACTCCATAAGAAATCATCTGGCAGTTTTTGAAGTAATAAACAGAAGGTAGAGCTCAACATTCTGAACATTTTTGCGCTGTCAGATTTTCTCTATTATTAGCGCTCTTCAAGAAAATTATAGACAAAAATAGTGTTTTGACCCTATGTTCCATTTTTAATTGGCAGGCAGGGTCATTGGACACATTTCAAAACTAGATACCCAGTGATGATTGTGGTCAAAACTGAAAACAAGTGTGGTTAAATTTGGTTCAGAAGTTTCAGAAAAGAAGATTTTTTATAAAAGTTAACGGAGGACAGACGACGGGCGATGACAGATTGATTGATTGGTTGTTGGTGGATTAACGTCCAGTGCCAAAAATTTCATGCATGTTCAGGACGAGAACAAATAAACAACAAATACAATAGGTAGGCCCAGTAATAGAGGCCGTCGGATGAAGGTCGGGGAAATTTGGACAGCTACTGGAAAATGAGGGTATATTGTACAGGGAAAGAAATGTTGCCTGGAAACAGGCCACCTACGGACCCCTAAAAGAGTCGTTGCAAGGGTATTTTAGAGCACGTGCACTCGGCACTCTCTCTACACAAGGCATCGGATTTAATGTCCCCATTCTGACCGGCGAGGCTATGTACTTGTACATCCGCACAGCCTAACAGACGACCAACTTTGGCAAGAGTTTCACTGCCGGTCGGAAGAAGACTTAAGTGACCATATTTCTATTTTTCCCCGTCACCCTTGTGGTGACGATGGACGCCAAGAGATGAGAAAAGCTCACACTGGACATGTGGGCCAGGTGATCTAAAAACAGTTTTAGCTTTCTGTGTAGTGTTTAGTGGACTGTTGTTGGTCGTTTCCTCGTCGATTTTTCTTCTCGCCAACCTATTGTCTGTTTTTATTCGACTTCTATTCGACTTATGGTTATTGAATACTCCCTTGATACCCTCTCCTTCTTTTCTGAATTCACTGAGCAATTTTAACACCAAATTTAGCCGCAATCTTAAGATGTCTACTTAAAAAAATGTGTGGGATTATGCTTGCGACCCAAAACATTACCATCATGGTTAAGTAAAGAACAAAGGGGGATGCAAGAAATCTTAAATCTTTAGATAGAAAAAAATCTGAAGCAAAAATAACCAGAATGTAAGAGTCTACCTACAAAGTAGTTTACATTGTTCCTTCCATTCAGACTAAATTTGTGAGATGTGACTCATTGTTGTATGTTTTTTTATCTTACAAGTATCATAGATGGATAGAAACTATATACAACAAAAGTTATCAGTAGCACAATATCTGCAAATTATTCAATAATTCCAATCGCATATCGACTTATTAAAGGAGTTATTTTTCCTAAATAATGATATTTACCCATTTTGATTTTTTTCTATTACATGTATCTTGAAAAAGTAATAGATATACAAACTGTTAACAACAAAGGGACAAAATACGACGTTTTTTGGCCGATTTCTTCGTTTTTACCTAACATCTTGAATTGAAAAATATAAATGATAGACAGAAATTGTTCCCGTCCGAACATTATGCTGCTACATTTGTAGGACGTGGAACACCCAAACTCACTTGGAAATTTTTTTATAGAAAATAATCAACCAAACACACATAAATCAGGTCGTTTGTTGTCTCGTTTGAATTATTTGTCATTTCGGGACCTTTTACAGCTTGCTATGTGGTATAAGAATTGCTCATTGTCGAAGGCAGTACAGTGACCTATAGTTGCTAACCTTCTTCGCCATTTGGTCTCTGGTAGAGAGTTGTCTCATTGGCAATCATAGCACATTTTCGTATTGTTATAAGACCTATAAATATATTGTATGTTTAATATTTGAGAGCATCCTTTGACTCCTTGTATGGGATAATAATAAATGATAATTTTTATAAATTTTAGTGATTTTAAATAATTTCATGAAATTTAATAGAAAGAAAGAATTTTTTTTAGCAGCAAAAATTATGAAATAAGTCAATCTTATTGAAATCGTACATCAATCCCTGATCGGAGTTGTTGCCCTTTATATAGTACGATTTTTTTTTTTTCATTTTTGGCTTTTTTGCCATCATTAAGAAACTATATATATACTAAATATACAGAAATAATAAATTATAGCTAATATGATCAGCAATGAACATGGTCTGTATATGTATACTCATTTTGGCATTAATCTTCAATGACTCCTTTATAAAAGTAATGGCTTTAAAACGATTTTCTTATCCATTCTTTTGCGTTTTTGGTTGTTTTCTTAAAACTTAGAGAAACTGGGAAATTAAACCAAACAAACAAACAAACAAAAAAAAACAAGATATGATAGAAAATACGACTGTGTCACCAAAATTGTTAGTTGATACATGACATAAGAGTTATTGCCCTTAAATGGCAATATCTTTTTTCATTTTCATTTTTATCTGATATCTTGAGAATAATTGAAGAATTATAACCACCAATAAGGATTTGCAAAACAAGTTCTACAAAAGTCATATGACAAAAATTTCAATGGAATCCTTATTAGATCGAGTTATCAAAAAAGATCACAAAAACAAGTTGTGGTAATATTGCCAATGAGACAATTATCAACAGATCTGCCAACTATCCTGATTTATGGGGGATATCCCCCATGTATGTTGGCCGGTTAAGGCCATTTCGCGTTTTAGCGTTTTCGCGTATTCGCCCTTCATATTCTATAGGGCGAAAACGCGAAGTCGGAAAAGCGAAATCGGAAAGAAAAAATA